CCTCAGTATCCACATCCAAAAATTCTCTCTTGCCAGTATCCCATGGATTTGTCTTGTTTTCTTGTGGGAGTCGAGGCCAAGACGAAGTGTGTGAATCAACCGAGGCATTTGGCTCTGTGGTTAGAGTTGGCATGTGAACTTTCCTTTCCAAGAGAAATCTATGTTCCAATGCGTCTTTTATTTGGTCGTCTATCTCTTCCTTTGGGCCAGCTGACTCCATTGTTTGGAATACCCATTCTCTGTGTCCCTGATCAAAATACTCCTTTCTTTCAAGTTCAACCTCGTATTCACTTTCGACAGCACCTCTTTCCATTGGAGGTAGACACAGCATATATTCACGACAAGTTTTTTTTATACGAGTTGAATATTTTCTCAAGAGCACATCTTTTCTTGCTTACTTCATGGTATGCTGCCTTTGTGGACATTATACTGTCTATCTCAGTGTAGACTCTGGTAAGATGATCGCCATATGAAGCTGTTGATTTCTTCAAACGATGTATCTTATCAAGTTGCATACTGGCTCAGTCCAGGTCGAATAATGTGTCCCTATTTTGCGAATATCTTTGAATCAGACTCATTTCCCTGTCTTGCTCGGGTTTATGATCTAGGATATGACATTCACAGCACGATATTCACTTGACTGACAGCAGTATTACCAGTATGTACAAGGTATGAATGCAACACAAAATTATGATCTTCAGCGAAGGATAAACGAGAACTTGTCGTAAGTATATGCAGTGTCTACCTCCAATGGCAAGAGGTGCTGTCGAAAATAATAGTATACCTCGCAACTGCATGTTTTTCACTAGACTGATACATCAGTGGTCAGTTACGGTCTAATTTAAATATTTTAGATTACGAGTGAGATTCTATGTTGTAAACGAATGGCACATTTGACGGGCAGAGTGAGGAAATGTTGCACGTGGTTCGGGTGGAGATAATTAAAACACAGGAATACAAATTATATAATTTCCAATATTATTATTGATTTTGAATTATTAAAATTTAACACATACTTACAATTATACGCTATAAAACGAATCTGAATAAATAACGGTTACATGACAAAAGAATAAAACGTTAGCCAATATTAGTTATAACTGTCTAAAAATAGCACCATTACGAAGAAATGAATGATGGGTCATGGAAGGAAAAAAAGTAAAATAAGGTTCTTTAAAATAGTATATTGTTCACAACCCTAAAACGGTTGCATTGTTATTAATATTTCCAGAAACGGAATTCAAAATATATATATATACAGTACATCTTTCAATATTGCGTGTTCTTCACTGATATTAGTAGCGTTGTTTTTTTTTGTTCGATCTCCATTAATGTACATCAACGCTTGTAGTAGAAAAACGTCCACACAAAAAACGTCTGACCAACAATAGTAAGACGTGACACATTTTTTTTCAAATATAAAATAATCAACATGTATGTGTATGTTGATATGGGGTATTTTCAGCCGTAATTCATCGTGTTGATAGTTTGTATTCATACCCTATTTCTACAAAATACGTAGCACTCGTTCACGGCATCAGCTGTCGCAAGTGACATGCACTAAACATTTCTATCCCGGAAAGCAACCGCCGTGAGGTACAAATATAAATGCTGAAATAAAATAAAGTAATATACGAAAAGAACCACTGCATGTGTTCTAAAATATCTAGATCAAGTTGTGCGACGTCATCACTGCCTGGTTATAGTCTGTAACTATCATAGTGATTATTCGGAGACAGACACTCCCACAGTGCATTACAAACTCCCGAAATGCATTATAATATCCCACAATGCATTACAAATAGGTCGAATTTCTATATACAAAACCCTCGGCATAGATATAAATATGAAGTTTTACAGACTTCACACTCCCATTCAAATACACCTGTGGGACATTGATAAATAAAATAACTTATCAAACCAATGCATAAATAAATAACTTAACAATAAAAACAACAAGTGTCATATTCAAAAGTTTGCATAGGATTGCTGCGAGAAAAAAAACGTTCAGCCGAGTGGGAAACGTACAAGCTCAAGTTTTAGCAAAATGGGGCGTCACAAACACGACCACGAAGAGTATTGCTAAAATGACGCCAAGAAATATACCAGCCCATGTAAGTTGCAAGGCGTATCGACCACTCTCTTCAGCCACCATCCTATCACCCGCCTTGGCTGCTTGTCGAGACTGAAATCAAACATAGAACAATTGTAACGTGATTGTAATGTTTCACATTCACCGGATGAAACCACTTAGGGCGTGAATTCAATTCATTATGTCTTTAAATACATTATTATCATTTCTGGATTGCACAGGGCTCAATAAAAGAAACTCACATTCATTAGTTTCGGGGAATAAAATATTATTAGTACTCCGCGCCATTCAATATCGTTTGCCACTTGGTCTGATCAAACACAAGAAACAAACTTATGGATTCAACATTGTCTCCCTCATCAATTAACCATTTTCCTTTCACTGCGAGATCCCGCGTTATGCGTTAAATCAGACGAACTCTAGGACAAATAAAGGTCATAGCATCGTAGTGGCTTCAGAATATCGCGTGGGGTTTGTCAAACGCGAAAATATATTTGGGTATTTCTATTCACATTTGATGATGATTAATTTCGATGAAGTAAGGGTATCTCAATGCAATATTCCTCTCCGAAGGATCGCCATTACGTCATTGAGCTATAAAAAAATATAAATTCAAAATCAAATCGTTCAGTCCGCGCTATTCACGCAATATGCCAGATCCCGAGGTGAACGGAAAATCCCCAATTAACGCTATGCGTTCATTCACATGCCACACTTGAGTAATTCTAATATTTTTTTATTATTATTTAATATTTCAATATTATACTTACAAGCCAGGACTGATGTATTGCGAACAAGCCTATAATCCAACAGAAGAAGAAACACGAGAATATGGAACAACACAGGTAATCAGGCGGTGGGTCTTCCAATGGTATGGTGGGGCGAGGGTAAGGCAGAGTCTTGACAGTTGGACTTGATGGTGGGCTCACCGTTACCTGTAAACGTATAGGAATCGTATATGAAACGTTACGAGTTTTGACTGCGTAATACAAGTCACCATACATCTTAGTAGGATGGTCTCTTATCAAGAATACGTGCTGTATGTTTATCATTTGGAAGGGCAATATTCGTCCTACAGCGAGCGTTAGAACAGTGTATTTTACTTGCGTTGAATACATCGCATAGGACCCATGTCGAACATAACACGCAGCGACAAATTAAGTACACTCATGCGGATGGGGAAATCGACAATAGATGTTCTAACAGCACAACTTACAGGTCACGAATAACTCATCTAACAGCACGACACGTCCACTAATTTCAGAAAATAAACCCAATTAAAACTAGCGGAAAAAAACATCGGTCGACTTACCACAGCGTAGTTTCTGCTCGTCACCGACTTTCCGAACGCACTGTAGACCTCCTGCAATGCGGGGGGTCCATCGTGTTCTTGTGGTGGCGGTCGTCGTAACTGTCTCGGATCTCGACGTTGTTTTTTTGCGACGCTCTGGTTGCCTTTCTTCGCTCCTTTTTGTGGTAAAAGTTTCTCATTGGCCGAGTCAGTGTATTCCGTATCAGCCTCGGTTGTAGAGTCAATTCTAACGCGTTTGACATCGTGATCAGTATTCACACTTTGTGCTCCATCGCTTTCCGTGCGAAGTAATCCGGGGGAGGGTGGGGCCTCTTCCTGGACAGAGTCGTCGAAACGATTATAATCTAATAAAAAAGACAAAACAAAAACCATTATTATGACAACCAACCCCAACAAAATTAATATTGACAACTAAGATGACGTATTTGTTGACGATAGTGTATACGTATAGTCACTAGCCTGACAAGTTGGCGTAGGTGGCGCCCTGGACTGCTGCGATCCCCACCCGGGAAAGTGTTCTAGGTTCTTGGTATAATTAGGTGTTTGTATGCAAGGGATTTTTCCACACAAAAACGCCGAATTCGGCTGAATTTTGTTATCGGTTGGCTTAATATAACCCCACCGGATCGTATTTTTGACAAAAATTGGTATTTTTGTCCAGATTTGTAGGAAATCTGAAAAACACGTTTCACAACTTGTCTCTTATTTAGTTTTATGCTGCATTCAAGATGGCGGCCCCCATATAGTAAATATCGTATTTCTTTTACTATCACATGTGCGCCAGCGGACTGTGCGTATAGTGTGGTGTAATGAAATACATTGTAGTGTCTTTATCAAACAATATAGGATTCCTAGCACCATTAAATCACCTTTCGGTGACGTCAAAATGATGTACGACTCGCTACATATAAAAACAATGTCACACAAACGCTTCGTCGATAAATGGCGTGATTTATAGGCAAGGTGTATTTGTTGTTTTACAGGACAGTGGCGCGTCAGTCAAAAATTAGGATTATTATTAAAATATAATTATATTATTAAATCACTGAAAATTGATAAAAGACATGGGTAACGCTACGTATCAATTGAGAGAGAAAAAAAAAGTGAAATACCAATCGATGTTTGTCACGCGATTATTGCAAGGATCAGTCCAGACATGTTTGCACAAGTCCCACCGGTTTCCATGTACGCTTTAATACCATAAACTATCAGCCAGTCAAAAAATAAGCTGAGGTATACGCTATGCCATGGGATATTGACTTATATGCAGGTCTCGGATTTCGGACATCGTCACTATAAAGACTAAACAACGGTAAATGCATAAGATATTAATACGAACTGTTAGGTGAAATGTGAATATTTGATTGCGGGTGAACACATTTCCGGGTGACTGAATTCACGGTTATTATTCATGTGTATTCCAAGCTAAGGTTCATCTAACACAAAACAAAACTATCACATGGCCCAAAAAATGACGGTTTGATAATATCTCATATAACTAATAGTTCTATTAGTTGTATGAGCTAGAATGAACGACTGTTCAGTACTCTAACCTCATACGAAACAAATAACTGCGGCGGTATCGTAATATATTGAACCTCCATGGTACATTTGCAGATATAGAGACCGTAGACGACCACATGCAGAGTTACTAAAATCAATGCACGGCCGGTACAATGTACGACATGACCAAGAATGGAATGAAGGAAAGAAAGCAACTCATGTGGTAGATGACACGATCACATACATTCAGTTGAGACCAGCTGTTTCCTTTAATATCACACTGCACCGAATAAAACAACTAGATCGTAACATGGCACCACGTCATCTCAAAATACAGGGCAATAGTGAAGTTAAAGTCAAACAAAGGAGACAATTCATTTATTTACAACAACTACATGTTTTCATTTCACGCGCAGCGAAATTATTGATCCGGAAACGGAGTTGCTTTGACCATTTCGGTGTCATAATGTTTCGTGTTTAATCTACAAAGTCAATGTCGACAAATGGGTGACGCTTTTGTCGATACGTGTCAGGTGTTAGAAGTGCTTAAATGAATAATACATATTGAAAATATGATGGCGTGCGAGTTGCAATAAAGTGACAGCGGCAACATGTTTATGTAAATATATTCACATTTTATGGATCACTGGTGATATTTTAAATCGGAAGTGTGAACGTGAACAAGTCGCCCACTTTGTTGCATTTCTTCACACAGATACATAGTTTCTATTTTTGCATTCACATTAATGTTCATGTTCGTGCTGCACATGTTACCAGCGTAGGCGTGAACAAAGTAAGCCTAAGCCGAGGTATCATTTAAAACAGGAGATGAAATATTAGTCAGGTCAAAACAGGTCAAAATATATGACAACGTGCTCCGAGATGAATTATAATACCCCTCACTAATATTCAACGGTATTTAATTATACATACACGTTTACATCGTTATGAACCTGCTATTTGACGAAACGCTGGCGAAAAGAACAAGATATCGATTGAAAACCGACTTATTCGGGGGATGGTTCTGAGCGGTGAGTTTCAGTATATACGCACATGGTGTCATGGGTACCGTCAGATACGATTGCCCCCAGAATATTATTCTCAGGGTCACACTGTTAAAACGGAAGCCTGTCATCGCGATTTGCTGGTAGACATGTGATGGTTTATATATACCTACTCACAATTATTACTGGGAATATCAATTAATTCAAGCAAACAATTATAAAGTGATGATAATTGAGATCTATCCGAATAAAGATTGAAATTAAACACTTAATTACAATTACTTTAATCATCGTGCTCGAGTGTTCGTAATAGATCCATCGAATACGTAATCACGTGAATCACAATAGGAAAATGGCCTGTAATGATTGTTATCGACGTTACGCTTCATTTTGGCAAATCAATTAAGAATAACAAAAATGGACATTATTTCCACACCATGACAACAATATACCCTGAATCGCGGATTTACTCGCACATGTGTTCACTCTGACAAAAGTGAATTAATTTACTGAACGGAAGATTCAAGCATACATTTTCAAATAATCGAAACAATACTTTCCCCGACATACTAGAGAAAGCGACATACTTACCGTAATTATAACGTGTCGGGAGCCAGGGTCGACCGCGGTTTTTTGGACGTTTATTAAAAACCGGCATAACCACGTCCACTGCTCATCGGTCTACATTACATGCGACTAGGGTGAATGTAATACCGCGCTGTCACAAAAATAACCGGCTTACTCATTTCGGCATTTATGCGAGCCCGCAAGCTGGCGGTTAAAATAAGATAATTGTCATGGCAGCCGGCTCAGTGATGAAGTGTAATGTAAATTCACAAAGTACTTGATTCATTGATATGCTAATTATTCATATTTATTGGGCAACTTAATTTGAATTCTGTTTATTCTATTGTCAATATGTGTGTTCTATGCTGCAGTTTTTTTGTTTTTGATTATAGTTTATTGTAAAAGGGAAGCGTTATTTTGGTCGTACACAACAATAGTACTAGTAATACGCAAATGCGCATGCGTGTTCCATACTAAACGCGCGTGCGTATCTGTACATTCATCTAAGGAATGCTAGCGCTGCAAAAAAAACAGTTCAAGCTTCATGAGTAATTGTAATTCCGGTGAATGTCCACAGAGTCGAACCTTTTTTTGTTAATTCATAGCTATTTGGCGTTCAAAGCGACACACTCGTTCCAGTGAGTCATGTTCGATAGGGTCATGCGACGGCCCGGGGGTCGCTAAGCTACCATGCAGGCTAACGGAATGAGTCGATATACGTTAATTCACTTCCGGTCAGGCAGGTATTTCACAACACTATAGTTTACATCAGTTTTATCATGAGCATTTTATTTCTGTCTTGTAGGCATCTAAGATTGAAATTTTACGAATTTTTCACAGAATATAACGTGCTTTTCATTTATTCACACACAATGGAATTAAAACAAAAATAATATATATTATTCTGGTATCCGTACATACATTTTAAAGATATTTCTGCGGGCGGAAAGATACAAGTAGTAAGAGGTTCTAACTTGTGAAAAACAGAGGTACGTGAGATCACGACCGATTGTTATACAAAATGATAGTAGGTAACTGTAGTCCTTCGCGCAAAGTCCTTTGTTCAGTTAATATCGGAATAAAGTGAAAGATCGCAGGCAACATGCGGAGTATTGGAATATCATAATAAATAATAATGTTTAATAAAAACAATATGATCATACAGATATATATCCATATGTTTTCTCCACTTCATACAGTTATAAATAAGATTATTTCGATATAAATATTACTATTTTCACACAGTGACAACTGATTGTACCAGTAGTCCATATGTTTTCTACAAAAAGTCTGGTAATATTGAATAATTTATATTTGATGTTTGTTTAGAATGAATTTAGAACGCGAGACATGTATGGCGCTGCAGGCAATAGGTAAGATATATAGATATTGTTTTAGTAGATGTACACGTCACATCACGTACGTAAATATTGACATGAATAGAATTTATGGTAGCTACTATGCGCATACCAATATGAATCTAGACTATACATGATTATACAAGTACTACATAAGGCAGGATTTTGGACAATGGACTTCAGTTAAGAGTTGACACCTTACAATTACAATCCCTGTGTCTATATAATGCTGATTTAAGAAAAACGGAAATACGTAATAAAATTTATTGTCAAAAAAGCCATGCGGTGTTAATTTGTGGGTAGTTGTCAGAAATATAAAAGAGCTATATCTTTCTCTCTGTGCGTGTTAAAATGAAATGTGTGTTTGAAATTAATTCACAATGAAAGCAGAATCAGATTACAGATTCGTTGCTATGATATTGACAGTTCCTCTCCCATGGCAACTGGGCTGATGACACCCATGCTATGGCAATTGCGTCGTCGGGTTGTCAATCAACAATACATGTGTCAATTGACGATGACTAATATTAACGATTAAATCACACTGTTCTCGTGTGTGTAGCATATGCTGGCAATGTGGTGCCGTGATACACTCATCTAATTCATGATGTCATAATTCTGACCCCCTAAGTTGGCGTTTATCAACCCTTGACTAGCAAAGATGGTCCTGCGTGTAGCCTGAAATGTAGGCGTGAGTGGCGCCCTGCCCGGTTTGGAGTTTGGAGCACCGCTGAGGGCGCAACTCACGCGATCTTGTCAGGCTATATTTCTCCCATCATCGATATATTCCAGTAGTACCGAAGTGTGCACTAAATATGGCAGAAATAGTACATTTACGTATTAGTGTGTGTACAAAACGGAATGGCGGTGTAGTATAGTCTTGACAACCAGTAACAGTGTATGTCGTCTGTC